CAAACCACCTAATTAAAGTTTGCGTCAAGTATTGCAATTTAAATTTTACTAATTAATTCTAGTTTTACATGTATGTTGAAAGGGATGCACGGGATGTAAGCGAGAGATGTTTGCGTCGCCGTCGATGAATACCATCGAGGATTCGTTATCCTCCGGGAATTACAATTTCCACAATTTCCACAATTCGTGCGAGCCATAGCACGTGCGGCGACCGTGTCGTCAAGCAAATTCGCCGTGCGCACCGACTTGTATTTTAATATCACTATCAAAACTCGTATACGTGGAGTTAACATACAGGGTGTAATTTATTTTTTATTTATTTTTCTGTACGTACTTACATTTATTTCGTTTTATTTTTGCTTGTTTGGGATTGTGTATGTGTGTTTTTTTGATGCGCGTTACGACAGCATGATGAGAAAATCACGTGAGTGGCGGGCGGGAGACATTTCTTTGTGCTTTGTGTCATTCTGTCCCTCCATTATAGTCTCACGATCCTTCCTACTGTTTGGACTTTTTTATTTAACATTTCTTTGACAAGCTTAGCGCATTTTGTACAAAATTTACTAAAATTACTAAAAATTTGTCGGTGAAATTTATTTGTTTTACCTTGTTTTTTGTTTGGAATAGAATCGACATTTACATACTAACAATTTATTTATAAATTTTGATTTATATCATTTATATCAAACGTTCTCAAGTTTTTGATACATATACTACGTAGGTGTCTCTTTTATATTATTTTCGTAAGTTGCAATACCTTATCGATAGAAGATGTCGACTTCTCGGATGGTTTCGCACTCGAAGAATTCAATTTCGCCGCATGAACGACGCGAAGGCGAAGGCGTGTGTTTGCTTTATTTAGTCGCCTACCGAGGACGAAGTCTGAAAATCTATCTGTAGATATGTAGAAGTATCTTTCGAAAGGTATATCAACTACTACATGCGCATTCAATCGTCTCTTGAGAATCATTCGAATGTACGACTACGAGTACTTACTTCTCGAAGTAAAAGTTAAGCTAAAATAAAAAGGATAACCAGAAAAAATATGAGTTATAACTACGCATCCATCGCATGTTTCTCTCTATCGCTGAAAATATCAAATTGTAATAATGAACAGGCTCAAATTGCTGTAATTGCGAGTTCTCAATTTGCGTTTTACTCTTTTGGCTTTTGGCGATTTTTTCGAAATTGCGCATGTTCGCTTTATTTCTGCGGGCGGTGCGTAGAGCAATATTTCGTTGCGTATTCGAACGCAGATTGACATTTAGTTCAATGGCACCGATTCGGCAAACGCAATAGCGACGCGTTTTCCATCGAGCACCGTCAGCACATCCACCACACGCTACCATTAAATATGTTTCCACCAGATTAAATAACAGCGGCGATGTCAAATAATACGCTACACGATTTGAGGGGAAAGTAAAGCGATGATTTCAAATTGAAATGGCAAGTATTGAAAGCAAGGTAAACAAAGTCAAATCCTAAATTGACTCATTTGAATCGCAATTAAATTGTGGATTGATATAAATTATTGCGCATGCGTGTTACAATTAATGCGTTCTATGATATTCAAATTCATTTAATTCCACCTCAATATCTTCTATTCGGTTCGATTAAACTTGTAGGTGGAGGTCGCAGTCTTTATTAATTAAATTCCAATTATGAAAATAACTGTGGCAAGAAACGCCATCACGTATAATACTATTCCGCCCACCGAGCTTTATTCATCGTTAATTATAATAATACGCGAACGTTCAAATGTTAATTACGCTAATGAACAAAAGCGACAAGTTTAAATATTGTATGTAGACGAAATTCGAAAGTCACAACAGATCTGTACAAATTAAGTGGGAATGTGTATGTATATAAGCTTAATTTGCTTTTTAACTCAATTTCAGATTCGGCTTTGTTTTTCGACGAATGTTGTCTGACACCGTCTGGGCTGTCTGTTTATTGTTCATTATTCTCAATTATTTTTAAGACTGATTTTTGGCGAAGCATCGTCGCACGCGCAAGTCTTTCGATTTAGTGTAAAATTGGATTTTCTTTTGTTGGGACAAATCGAGCGTGCTGAACCTGTTTGTTATCGACTTTTGGCAGTCTAGACGACTAATGGCGTATTTTTACGTGTTCGGCGACAGAAACATAACCGATCTTTGCTTACTTTAATGAGCTTAATGATGAACACTTGTTGTGTCTTATTTTTGTCAATTTGTTGCAAATTATTTTTAAAAAAATTTTCTTCTACTGTTGCGGTTTAAATTACACGCCGTGTGCACAAAAAAAAGAGTTAACCGGTCAAAACGTTTAAAATCAACGAAGGTGGCGGCAGCGTGGGGATTGGTGGTAGCTTATATCTCCAACGTTGGGTGCTTGCTTTGCTCGCGCGTCTTCCTTTATGTCGGGCCGGTGGAGGCGGCGGAGGCGGCAGCGGTGCGTGTGCGAGTGCCGCGTGTGCGCCATGCCGGATCGATGGAGCCTTCCCTTCCCAGGCAGAGGCAGAGGAGGTACAGAGGAGGCATAGCGGAGGCAGATGAGGCCTAGCTCGGCTTCAGCAGCCGCGCCGGCGGTGGCACCACCACCATCGGCGTGCGTTTGTTTTATATCGCAATCGCTGTCGCTGCCCCCTACATCGGCCGCAATTCGAAGTGAGCAGTGAGCGTCATCCTCTCGAAAAGCCGAACACGCACCCGGTTTTAACCTGGCAGGCGAACGCGGCAGTAAATTCAAACAGGCGGCGCGTAATTTTACCAAAATGTGGTGATATTAATGGTCGGCCGCATGGTCAAGTGTTCCGACAGGCTTTTATCTAGTGCGAATCGAATTTACAGCCGCTCACACCATATTACACTATTTACAAAAAAATTTAGTATTTACCAAAACCGGTTTGAATGCCATTCACATTGAACGTAAATACACTGTAGAATTAATTAATTGACAATGATAAGCATAGGGTAAATTTTCGACTGTAAATTCGAGTGGTAAGTGGACCGATTCATTACACATTCACCGGATGCAAAGTACAAGCAACTAATCTTCCTGCCACTGCGCATTGCGCGCCCAAAGTTCATTATCGCAAGGAAACCGAAGAGACATTTGCACCAGAAACCAGATACGCATATACCGAGCGTTTAGACAAGTTTTCAACGTAAATTTAATTCAATACATATTGGAATAAATATTTCCCGTACGGGCTGTATGAATCATGAACAGGCTAAGATGACACATAATTTACAACCTTACCGAAACATTTCCCATTTCCCACGCATGCGATTCGCAAAGTATCGCGTATCAGATTAATAAATTCAAATTGAATAAGTGCTCGCTTGTATTGTGCAGATGTGCAGGTGTGGTGGGCAAAAACTTAACCTCTCTAGAGCCCTACAAACTTTCAAACCCGGAGATATTTCCAGCGGTGAATTTACCTGAAACTCGCTTACTCGTCGTATGTTGCCCGGCGCCTTCACTAAGCTGTGGCAACGGCTCTTGGAGTTGTTAGTGCGACCGCCTCGAATGCATTATTAAAACGTTTACACCTCAATGATGCAGCTTGAATATTTCACGACGCCACTTACTCATAACAGGCGTAAAAGCATTTCTTGAATATTCTTGCTTTAAAAATTTTATATTTTACACCGTTTAGATGTGTAGGATAAAATTTTGAGCAAAGAAAATACAGGCGTGTGTTTGCAGAGTGTTTAAAGTGTTTAGTGTTTAAGCCATTGCGATTTATTGCAGCCTTTAATGGAAAATCTCACGCGGTCTGCGCGCAGAATTAGCCAAATAAACGATCGTGTTCGACGCGAGTTTAAAGCCATAACCGAACCAAATTGAGCGCATTTCCCCACGCAAATAGCGTCGTTGTGGCGACACTAAAACCTGCATAAGTGACCCGAATATGTAAAATAAAATTTCATGCCTTCACACGTTTGCAGCAAATCGGGTGTGGTCTATAATCATAATCGCATCCGTAATGCTATAATCGTATTCATAAAAGAAACTATGTATCTTTAACGAAAAACAAATTGTTACTGCAGACATTTCCAGTTAATTTTATCAAACTTTAAATGATTATCTTGAAATTGTTTTGGAAGAATGTTGAAATTTGTTTTGCACTACTAGGTAGATGCGATCCGGGGTACAAAATACAAACGATCGTAATTTGCAGCTAACCGCACATTAGCAATCAATGCCGTTTAGGATCACAACGAGTGATTATTCTGAGCGAACGAACAATGCAAGTGAAGCAAACTAGAGCAAACTCTATCTAGTCCAGTGAAATTCAGTGGTAAAATGTTGTTATTTGCCATTTGGTCATTGCGTTCCCATTGACCTTGTAATCAAAAATCTATTTTCGATCACGTTTAATAAAGGCATTAATTATTCGTTATGCTATTATTCCGATTACATCACCACAAGAGATTTGTATACAGTTGAACAAGCGAACTAAACTAGAATTACGGAACTTTGACAGTCAAATAATCTACATATTCGGATAAATTCTAAACTTTAAATACAGTTGTTTGTGTTGCAGGAGTTTTCATTACGTACAAAGGAATCTCATCTCGCAATCTTTATTGTCTCCCGCACATAAGATAATTACGCGAAGGCCCGAGTGGCACTCACGCAGAAAAACAGGACGTGGTGAGAACACTAGAGCATTCTCCGTCACAACTATTCGAGGCCGTCGTCGTTATTTTCATATCACATTTTCACACACATATATTTCTTGCGTTTCATAATTTATTTCTCCGAGTTGTTCTACAATTCAGACTATTCGAATATAGACGCGCTAAATTAAATTAAAAGAAAATCCTTCCAATAATTTAAAATAGTGTTATTAATGATTTGCTTTTATAAGAGTTTTTTTTTTCTTAAAGGTTGTTTATTTTTGTTGTTTCCGTATAATTGGTAAAATATTTTCGGAAATTTATTAAGTTTTGGTAGTTCACTATAGGCAACCCAATATACACAATCTTGCTCCATCGCGCAAACTCCGCTGAAGAACAAGTGACAGTGTTGCAGAGCTGTGGAGTGACATTGTTTTGATGTCAGTTGCGTTTCAAGTCAACAATTAGCAATGTTAAGAAAATGAACCTATGATGGTGGAGTTGTGTTAAATTCGCTGCATTCTTTTCTCTGCGACAATGGGTGCGATAACCAGTCGTCAGAATGCAGGCGTGGAAGAAGTGGATATGGTTAATCATCATGCCTACAGATATCCACCTAGATCAGGTGAGTTGACCTCTTAGAGCTAAATTATTTAACTTTGGTTATAAATATCTTGTAGGAAATTACTTCGGGACGCATTTTATTATGGGCGGAGAGCGATTTGATACTCCACAACCAGAATCATACCTGTTTGGAGAGAATACTGATTTGAATTTCTTGGGATCTCGACCCACACCAGTAAGTTACAAATGTAATGTACGACAATAAATATAGCTATATATTTTATTTAGTTTCCATATCCTCCACCACAACCCAGTGAGCCTACAAAAACTCTCAAAAGTCTTGTGAATATCAGGAAAGAATCTCTAAGATTTGTCAGGGCTCCTGTTGATTATGTCAAACCAAGAATTGATAGAGGTGGAGGTGATGCAGATGTGGAACTGGGCAAGTCAATGAATTTTAACATTGAATTTACGTTCGATTGTGACGTCCGCTGCTCGATTACTATCTATTATTTGGCTATGGAGGACTATTCAACAGTTGGAGCTGTGTAAGTGTTCAAAAACGAACTTTTCATTTAAAGTAGTTTTATAATTTTCTAGTCGTTACATACCACGTGATCCGAAGACAACAAGTGAAACTTTTCGGTATAAACGCGGGGCTAATCAACAATTTTGTCAAATGTTGCACGTTTTTGATCCGACTCGTTACAATGAAGATGAATTATTGTACGATATGGATCGTGAAGTCATTCCGATTGCGATCCATTGTGTGGCTGATGAAGGCCCAGATGAGTATCGTCAATCACATGCAACTTATGCCAGCGTTGAGAAGATGTCAGATGGGACTTATTCTCTCAAGGCATTGAAACAGAAGTTGTTTGTTGATGGTTTGTGCTACCTACTGCAAGAAATTTATGGAATAGAGAATAAGAATAATGACAAAGTAAGTTAATATGAATTATATCTTAGTCCATTATTGATATCTGGTTTATTTTGTAGTGTACCGATGACGATACAGATGATAACGGTTCGGAATGTGTAATTTGCATGTGTGATGTGCGTGACACTTTAATTTTACCCTGCAGACATCTCTGCTTATGTAATTCATGCGCTGATTCATTGCGTTATCAGGCCAACAATTGTCCGATTTGCAGAGCGCCTTTCAGAGCTCTTTTGCAGATCCGTGCATTACAGAAAACTGGCAATATGGCTCTTCCACCAGTTAGTCCACCTGATGTAACTATTAATTACTTTTTATCTTTCAAGGCGATATTTAATGTTACTCTATATTGCATAGGGAAATTGTGAAAACATTCCGATCGGATACGAAGCTGTCTCTCTTATTGAGGCATTAAATGGTCCATGTATCCCACGCGCACCTGCCGCAATGCCGGATTTGGTGGAAACACCCGAAAATGAATCTGCAATCCAGGCGGCTAAAATACTCAACGGCCAACCAACAAAAGGAAAATCAGTTAAAGAAGACTCAAACGCACCAGAGTTTGGAATGGCCGTTCTGCTCTCTACTCATTCTGAGGAAACACCTAGAGATTCCAATGAACAAAAAGAAACTAAAAGTTTACTTCTCACCGATCCAGGTTCAAATCAACACAATCGCAAACATTCCAAGAATAAGGATAAAGAGATTGTTGTTAAGCATCTCAATGAAAAATTGGATAAAGAAGAAGTATGTTAATATTTCACGTGTATTTTTGATACGTTATAATTGTGATGTTTTAGATTATGGATGAGGACAGTGAGGCTGAGAAATTGTCTCCATTACTCAACAATACCTCTCCTCGGCATGTCGCTTTGAATATTGAAGATGTTGTTGAATCAATTGATGGTGCTGATACTGATGACGCTGATGATTCGCAACACGAGATGCAGAAACACTCGAAAAAAGACGGTGATGAGTCTGACTATTACACTCCGGATGAAGTCACACCGGCTGATGGAATTTATGAGCCGAGCGCGCCTGCTAGTTCAGTGGACAGCACTCCTCAGCGTCTGCCTGGAACACCCATGTCACATGCAAGCGCACGCAGCTCACAAGACAGCTACACTAGCGGCTCCAGCACCCGACATCTGCTCTCTGTTGCAAATATAAATGCAAACGCTAACGCGCAGAACAACATTACCGAAAAGATCGTGGCGAATGTTATCGAATAATTAGAATTTCTCACTTTACTTTTGTAACTTATTTTAAAATGTATTGTTTTGTATATTGGCAATTGGTGGAGGATGATGAATCTGTGTAAGATCTGTAAGTTTAGCACTGTTTTGTGTATCATTCCTTTTGAAACACCCTGTATTTTATCCGTTGTTTTTGGAAGGTTTTTATTAATGCATATAGCGATTCCTGCATATGTTTATATTATATAATTAAATACACTAGGATTTATATAAACTGTACCAATTAATTAAAGATTATTTGTTGCAGAAATATTCAAATGCGGTTGCAGGCCGTCGAGGTGAGTTGGCGTTTAAATTAAATGTCCTTGAATGATTGAACATTTCAATTATCTTGAATGTATCTCTTTTTTCCAGCTTGGGAAGAATCAATGAATGGTCATTATTGTTTCTTGATAAAACGTTGTATTGCAGCGAAATTTCCTCAGGATTTGTTTGAACTTCTTCATGTATTCCATGTTCAAGTGTCTGTTGTTCCATGTCATGCAGTTGTTTCTTCAAGATTGTGGGAAATTTTATGAAATTTAGCACGTTTAGGACGAAAATACCTATTTCCAATATGATTATAACAATTTTTGTTATGTAATTCATTTCTGAAAATTTTGCCTCACATAAATTGCGTTTACGGAGCAGGAAATTGTGAAATATATATTGACATTCAAAATTTTCCGATCGGAATTAATTATGATAAGAGGTGGCATCACTTACTATATAATTTCTAATCTTAAGTTTTGGCAAAACTATTGAAGTCAGTTTTAATTGTAGACATAGCTATAAAGGTAAAAGGAAAAGGATAAAAAATAGCAGTTTGGTGTTATGAGGCTCTGATTTCTGTTTATTTTTTGGCTTTTTGGGTCTGACAGAAAAGTCATTCTAGCATCAAATTGTAAGTATCGTAATTCTTTATTGTAATTAACACTTAGTTTTGTAATTTGTACACGGGGAAGGCATAAAAATTGCATTTTTGTGTTTCGCGGCACTTATTTCTGGTGATTATCGGGCTCTAGAAATTGAACGGAACTCCAGAGGAGAGCCATTCCTACATCAAATTGTAAGTAATATAATTCTCTATTCTATTTATGGCTTGGTTTTCTGATTTTTGTAGGTCGAAGTTATATAATTTGCATTTTTGTGTTTCGAGGCACTGATTTCTATTTGTTTTAGGGCTCTAGAAATTGAACGGGACCTTGCAGGAGAGCCATTTCTGCATCAAATTGTAGGAATTGCAATTCTGTATTTTATTCATGTCATAACTATCTGATTTTCATATGCTGGAGCCTTAAAAATTACATTTTTGTGAGTCGAGACATTGATTTATGTGAGGTATGCTATCAACAATTTTAAAATTTCGCATTTGTTTATTGGCAACAACGATGGGATAAACTTGTGGGAATAATTTTTGTTGAAACAGACAATCTAGCGACATTTCAGAAATATTTTAAGAGTACAGTTTGAAATTGTCTGCTTATGTTATTGATTCGCACAATTGATTTGTAGCCGCACAAAGAATTGAATGGTGAGGCAAACGTGTACCGGTAATCGCACACAAGGACACGAATTTCAATGAACTACATTATTAAATTGAACACAAGAAATTAAACATACATACTACATGATAAGGGATTATATATTACATAATATCTGTTGATTTATCATAAACTAAAAACTTTGAAAACATGGTGTCGAAAGCACCCTGTATCTAGAGAACTATTTGACTTTTTTGTACTTTCATATTGCCATGTTAAAGGTCGAAAGTCTCTCTACTGGATGCATACTTTTTCAATCTTCTAGCCCTTCCGGAAGTGTCTTAAAATGCCCTTTAAAAATTGGCATTTTTTTCAAAAAAAATTAAAACATGGTGTTGAAAACACCTTGTATCGTAAGAACTAGTTGACTAGTAAAGTTCGAAAGCCTCTCTATACGATGCATACGTTTTCAATTATCTAGCCCTCCCAAGAGTGTTCTAAAATGCCCTTTAAAAATTGGTATTTTACATAAAAAATTAAAATATGGTTTAGAAAACGCACTGTACCTCGAGAACTATTCGAGTTTTTGGTAGTTTCTTATCGCCATGTTAAAGTTCGTAAGTCTCTCTATAGGATCCATATCTTTTCAAACTTCTAGCCCTTCCGGAAGTGTCCTAAAATGCCCTTTAAAAATTGACATTTTTCAAAAATATTGAAAACATGGTGTGGAAAACCCCTGTTTCTCGAGAACTATTTGACTTTTTTGAAGTTTCTCACGGCTATGTTAAAGTTCGAGAGTCTTTCTATCCGATCCATATCTTTCCAACCCCCTAACTCTTCTAGAAGTGCCTTTAAAAGCACTTCAAAATAGCTATTTTTGTCCCAAAAATTTCAGTTTTTGGTCGAATAGCAGGGTCGAACTTTTTTGTTAATTTTTTTTTGGTCGAAGAATAGGGCCGCATTTAAAAAAAAAATTGTCACAGAACAAGGTCGAATTTTTTAGTCGAATAACAGGGTTAAACTTTTTTCTTAAATTTTTTTTGCTTGAACAACAGAGTCGAACTTTTTTATTTAAATTTTCCTGTCAAAATATTAAATTAAAAAGTTGGAATTTTGAATTCCTGATTGATAAAACAGTATTTTTTAAATTTAATTAAAAAGCAATTAATTATGACAAATTGGCGGAGGCGCCTGACATTAAAAGAGTTGTTTTATTAATTGTTGATAGCTACCTCATTGTGTAGAGGGGCTCGTTATAATAAAATTTAAACGACTTTTCTCTTATTAGCAGTAAGGTATTTCCTGCAAATCTCATTAAGTGAAATGTGCACTCCCATCGAGACTAAAGAATCAATTACCTCAGGAACTAATAGAGATAAACAAAAACCAAAAACACCCCAATGTTTAGCATCAAATCCTAAAGAAGATAACATTTAAAATTTGAAATATTTGAAATATGTGCCTATAAAGTTTTCCACCGCGATTTTCTCGGAAAATAATAAAGTTAGTAAAAAATTTTCATCATTTTGTTCATGCCATGATAAGGATCTATAAAATGGCAGATTTAGATTTCTCCATTTTCCAAAGTTGACCAAAGACCACTCAAAAAGATCAAGATTACACTTGACTCTTTTTGGACTCAAAAAAAAATTTTAAGCTAGAAGAAAATGGAAAACGCTAATTGATTGAGTTTTCCAAGGGGATGAAAGATATGAAGTCAGTTTACCGATAAAATCATTATTTCGGAAAATGGGTGGTAAATTCTAAACTGATCAAATAAAACCACTTCTCCGATTTACCCCAAATGTTTCCAATTGAAGTAAGACATCACCAGGATTCCATTAATCCAGGTTTAGTTGCTTTATCTTAATTAGTTTTCAAGTTAGTGATCATTTTTAATTATTACGTAAGTGTTGATAACTGAAAATTTTAACATGTTTTATAATGTAAAATGTAAATCTACATTCATAATTTTAAATATGTAAACTGTTTTTCAACCAAAAAAATTCGAACGAAAAATTTTAAGTAAAAAAGTTCGACCATGTTTTTCAACCGAAAAAATTTTTACAAAAAAATTCAACCGAAAAAATGTTTACAAAAAATTCGACCGAAAAAAATTTTAAAAAAGAGTTTACAGAAAAATTTAACCGAAAAAAGTTTTTAAAAAAATCGACCGAAAAAAAATTTAACAAAAATATTTGACCAAAAATTGTTAAGTATAAAAGTTGGACCCTGTTTTTTTTACAGAAAAAAATTTAACAAGAAAAGTTCGACTCTGTTCTTTGACCAAACAAATTTTATCAAGAAAAGTTCGACCCAGTTCTTCGGCCAAAAATGAAATTTATAGGACTAAATTCACGATATTTGAAGGTTATTTTAAGACACTTCCAAAGGTTTAGTTAAAATCATATGTATAGAATAGAGGATCTATCAACTCAACACATAACGTTAAGAAACTACAAGAAAATCAAATCATTTACGAGATACAGGGCGTTTTCCAAATAAAGTTTTCAAATTTTTATGAAATTGCCCACTTTCGATGTTCATTTTAGGGTACTTCCGGAACGACTGGAAGATTGGAGGCAATACATCTTGTAGAAAAACTCTCTAACTTTATTCTGGAGGGGAGAAACTCTAAGAAAGTCAATTAGTTTACAAGATACAGGGTGTTTTCCCCATCATATTTTAAATTTTCCTGAAATTGCTCATTTTTAAAGAGCATTTTCGAACACCTCCGGAAAGGGTGGAAGGTTGGAGGGAGTGCATCGTGTAGACTCTACACTGTAGAGGAACTTCTTAGCTTTACTCTGGCGTAGAGAAACTCTAATAAAGTCAATTAGTTCACTAAATACCGGAGGTTATTCTCACCTCACTTGTTTTCAATTTTTTTATGACGAAATATTTGTCAGCAACGGTAGCTTTTGAAATAATACTAATTTTTAAATACAGTTTTCAGACCCTTCAGGCCCTATTTAAATTTTAATGAAAATTATTGTTTTTATATGCCAATAGGGCCTTAATCTGTAATTATGTTACTAGTTTCCGATTCAGAAATTAATCGTAATTAAATTTTCCATGCATAGTACAAGTACAATTCTTCTTATGTTCTACACTACCACGCTGAAAGTATCTGTGTTTATAAACAAACATGTTTTCTTATCTCGTGTAATTTTAGTGCGATCGCCACGCGGTTGGCTTGTGTACCACGTTAGTTTCATTTTTGTCGTCAGGTGATCTGCACGCACATTTTCGTCATTATTCTTGGGTTGATAAATGCTTGTTCGATTGTGCGCGATTGATGTGGGGTGTTCATACTCGTACCACGCGGATTGTACATACTCAGAGGTAAAGCGTGAGTGATGTTCCGTTAGCCGTCGTATTCTTTTGGTATTATACGCGTGTTACATTGGTCCTACAATGTGCATAATTAAGGTCCATACAACTTATGCAACAAAACGCAAAAATTTATTTTGCATCAAGGTATGTTCTCGCATTTCTTTAGCCATTTGAAAATCAAATTTATTATTAACTTTAATTGCTTGCGCTTTTCCAATTGTTTTACATGATTCAAAATAAAATTCTGATTCTGATAAACTGCCCAAGTCCATAAGCCATTTTTCGTAACTTGCTAATGATACCGAAGTAACACAGCTATAGAAAATAGTTTCACCACAAGTTAAAAAACAAATACTTCCCTGATTGTATGAGCTCCCATAAAAGTCAATTTAATAATATACTTGAAAATTTATTTACTTTTGAATCCCCTTTGTCGTTTTCAGGAATCGTTTAATAATAAGATTTCCTTTAATTCTTGTGAATGTATGTGTGTTGAAGTGTTGTTCTTTTTAAAAACATGAATAAAAGTGCAACATTTATACCTGAAACGAATAGAGCATGATAAGAGAACAAGGTGGCTTAGATGCATGTGCCTATACTTGCAAATTAGAGATTCATGGTTCGAATCTCAGTTAGAGCAAAGGATGTTTTCATAAATATGAAAATGAACCAACACGACTATTGAGGGTTGCCTATGTATCAAAGCTGAAATCCACACGGAATTCAAATAACAGCGAACGAGTAGACGGCAATACAGGGAAGTTGGGAATAACAACAAGATTAAGGAAGGCGTAGTAGGAGAACAAAGTAAGATGACAAAGCCACCCCGAGAACAGGAGGGGCTCGGGTTTTTAATTTTTTTGGCGACGTGTCGTTCAATAAGACAGCACTTTCGCCCACGGCTTCGATGCATTGCTCCCGGCCCAACCTACAGCTACGATGTCTCTACGCTTCATCCCCAGGATTCTCAGGCATATCAACAATTTTTATGGTGGGAGACCACCCCCAGAGAGAGGGAACTCCTTATAAGGACATCCTTATAAGGTCTTATAATATTTCTAAGTTTTAAGTCGTCTCAAGAGAGGTGATACTTAAAAATATTCTTACAAGTTCTGACCTGTACCTGTAATGGTAGAAGGGGTGCACACAAATAATACAAGTCACAATCTGTTCGAACATTTCTTTATTAAAACAAATAATAAGAAAACCGCAAGGACCAATTTTCATGAGCTGTAAACTGAAATAAATTTACAGGGTGATACAAAATAATAATTGAACTTATTTATTACAGGATACACTCCTTCATTAAAAATAATAAAAATTGAATCAACTCAATACATACAGACTATTAACATTACCAGCACTGCTAATTAGAGAATGTTAAGAAATAATAATATACAGAGTGATACAAATAAAAACCAAGTGATTTTAGAAATTCAAAAATTTAAGAAGTAAGAGGACACCTAGGCACAACTAGAAGTCAATTTTTACACGATGTCATGGAAAACTAGAAAAACTACACAGGGTGTTACAAACGCCAACCAGGTAATTTCATAAATTACAAAAGTTAACGAGGAAGGGGACCCCCAAGGCAAAACTATAGGTCTATTTTCACCCAATGGCATGTTATCAGAGAAAAAATACTATACAATGTGTTACAAAAACAAAAGCTCATATTTCAAACCATTCCCTCTACATGTCAATGAAACGTGATTAAAGAGGATTAAACATCTGCATTTTACAAAGTGTCAACATTTGATTAATTGCATCCTGATAACTCGATTTGAAACCACCGATGTGTATTGTGGCAGGATTTCATGAACAGGTCTGCAAGTTTCTCTTTTAATATAAAAGTTTATAATAATTACACAAGCAAGTATCACGAGTACTAAGTAAAAACTAACTTAAACATTTAATTAAATATCTGTAAATTCCGAAATATTGTCCTAATTTCAGATAGAAACCTGGTAAAAATGTAAAATAAACATAAACTATTTTGCATGTAATAGTAAAGCATCCGTCGGTGTGAAATTCAGCACAATGTTTATGTTGTGGGGATTGTTCGAAAATAGAATGCTTACATGAAAAACAAATGTAACTCGGCAAGAATGTATGATAATTTGATAATTACAATAATTCAATTCACATTAACTTACCACGGGACAAAGTCCGGCGTATGTAATTAACGTGCTGAAACAAAAATGAGAAAATAAGTTAAAATACTTCGCACGATTAGATTAATATCTTGGCGTTAATTACTCGATGCACTTTCAAGTTAAGTAAAAAAAACTAAAATTTTCCTAATTATTTCCCAGATATGCCCCAATTTTCATCTCACAATACTAGGGCAGTTCTAGTTGACTATGGAGATTGAAGAAAACATCATTTTGCATAAGGAATAAGAAAAAAATGTAAATTTCCCAATTATTTCCGAGACATGCTTCAATTTCCATTGCAAAACGCTGAACATGCGCAAAATAGTGCAGTAGTTTGAAGGTGTTTTTCGGGCAGTTTTAGTCTACTTGAAGAATTGATAGGAACAGCATTTTAAATAGAGACCGACCGAAATTTCGGTTTCGGTTTCGGTTTCGGCCAGTTTCGGCCAAGAATTCAAGTGTCGGCCTCAGTTTGGGTTTCGGCCAAAAATGGCCGAAACTTTCGGCCGCACCGAAACTCTCTTTTCGTGAATTGTCGTGCGTCGCTCGGCTAACTTCGCGGCTAATGGCGGTCGTTACTTGCCATCTTAGTTCGCTCATATTAATACTATATTAAGTATCAAGTGACTGAACGAGGACTTTACTCCCGAAACGGATTATGTATCTAAAAAACGTGGAAAAACTGGCGATGTGTAGGTAAAAGCAGAAAAATATGTTTATGTAAATTAGTTTCGGTTTCGGTTTCGGTTTCGGCCGAAACTGATTGCAGGGCCGAAATTTCGGTTTCGGTTTCGGTTTCGGCTAAAATTCAGTTTCGGTCGGACTCTAATTTTAAATAACAACTCTTTCTCTACAACGAGGCAAAAAGCAATTATTTACGACATATGCCCCCAATTTCTATAGCACTGAAAATACGCGAAATATTAAAAAAAAAGTATAGGGGTGTTTCTCGTGGAGTTTTAGGCGACTGAAAACTTTAATAATCTAAATTACAGAACGCAATATGAGGCGGTGATACGTACATTGTTATTAAATAATAGATAAACTACCCCAAATAACAACAACACGTTCGTTTTTTATCTGTGCAAGCCTCCCTGAGATAAATTTAATAATTACCTTCTTAAATACTGTGTAAAACATTTTGCACGACACCACGTTACTGAATATCAAGTACCGTCAGGAAAAAACTTTTATAACAACTAGGTTTATATACCTACATTGAATGATATGTAGGTATTACTTACAAGTTAACATATTGACGCGACATAGTCTTTGTAATCCATGGCATCCAACAGCCGACAGAAAACAATTTCACGTTTTCTAACTTTGGACACACTATAACTCATCCGTAACACAACACATTTGTTATTATTACATGGCGTGGATGCGTAATCAAATATAACTAGATTTACCAAATTGATGGCTATCGGAACATGGCTACTCTCGAAAGAAATACACAGACTAACCGACCAGAGCACATTACAGTTCAGCACGTAATTCCGTACTTGTAGTTCCGATGGTTCCGACGGCACACCGTCTCATGGATGTAAACAATTAAATATAACTGATAAAACCAAACCTGCTGCACCAATTGGCGCGATCTCTCATGACACGCACGTTTCCTTTTAAGGCTGTGTACGAGCACACTCAATACAACCTACCAACATTTGGCAGCGATAAGTACGCTTAGTATTTAATGCAAATATGTGCATTCTAGCGCCATCTTGGCTTGTATTATAGAATTATTCATATATTCCTTGATATTTACTAACAAACATTAGTTTCGGGTACACGACATTTCGCCGCGAACAATTCGCCGCCCGAGAAGTAAACAAGCGACTCATAAAAATAATAAACAATAATAATATTAAAAATGAAAACAGATAAACAATACTTACGCTCTTCAAATTTATTTAATACATTAACGTTCCTGGTTTCCACACACACTCCGTAAAGTTGAGCAAACTTCGGAAAAGGGGTGCTCATTGAGTTGCCTATGATGAATTGACAAAACCAAATTTTATCTGCAAACAGAACCAAAATATTTTCTATTTTGTCGTGAAAGATTAACAGAACATAAGAAATGTACAAAATTAAAAAAATTGCAATTTAATATCTAAATCACATCGTAATATTAACTTATATTTTGTTGTATAATAAAAAAATTTCGAAAGAAATTCATCACATCATCGTCAATTAAAACATTTGGGCTTTTAATTAATATCAACTAGTCTCAATGCGTTGCTGTTGTGCCGAATTTACCTCTACCATTCGCTTGTTGGAATTTTATCACCTAAAAGGCATCACTCTGCGAACGAATCGTACAAACGCGAGAGCAGCATGGGCCGCATGTCGATTGGATCCCTTCGCTCGATGAGCTGTCATACCCTAACAGATATTTAGGTGTTATCAGATGGGAACCGCCGAATACAATCGGAACATATCACAATTTATCATGCACTAATCATGCCCCAACACAATCCAAAACATAATAATAACCCGTACAAATAAATACAAATATGCGACAACAAATGCCACAACGAACAAACAAATGCAGACCAGTGAATATTATTTTATTAGGTGAACTCGTTGGAATGCCGTATCAATATTAGTTAATCGCCATAGCTATTAATTGTGACCAACTATAACAGATTTTAAAAATGTAGTTAACATTTACATTTTTATATGAGTATAATAAACGACATAGATCCGTAACCAAAATATACAAACCAAAACGAATTAATGAAAATGACTTGCTTGGAAAAGGTACGCGCATCAACAACAATGACCGGCAAGCAAATAAATTCGCATTTTACAAGCCATTGATCACACAAACCCAGAACAATATAATATGTAGCGCGTCCGCTCTGGCTCCATGAAATAGAATAATAGAGGAGTCCATTATGCAGTGCATTATATCGAGGGTAACGCATTGTGTCGCTAAGTTGGCTATAATTGTTAACAACAGTCGACTTTGCACGCTCCGTCGATCAACAGCCGGCCTTCACCCTTATACAAACTCACACAAGATCATGAGCATGAGAGCGCATCAGCAAAACCCACCCTTCTTGTTCGGCCTTGCTCTTTCCGTAAGGGTGGCGAGCGCACGAGTCGGCTAATCCCCGGTGTCTTTACTGTTATCGTTGGCTGGTTACGTACGCAAGGGTGAAATGCGGAATGCCTCTTGCTACGCCAAACTTAATTTTCGGGGGAATGTGGAGCGAGGGAGAGATCACCGATCAGATCATGATGAAGGATGCGACCGCGACCGAGTCGAAACGGATGCTGCTCAATTTAACCCCTATTATCTAACAACACAAACCAATTACATTAGCCCAATAGAACAGCCACCCCTTGTGTTATAGCTACAACCCCTTTTTGTGAAAAACAACCTATTTGAATTATAATTAATTTTAGCGTTTGGAAAGTTTTTATTTTTGTCGCTGAGGTTAAACGCTTTTCATTTTAAAATGGTGATTCAGGTAACGACGAATAATAAAGACATATTTTGTGTCCACACAGCGAGACATTAGGACGGCCCGACTTGAAATATTATTTTTCCAGGTGTGGATTTCCAAGTAGTTTATTTCAGATCGGCAGATAAACCAAAACGAGCAACACCAAGAAAACAGAGGAGACTCGTGTCTTCAACAAACCATATATACCTACAAAAGTCAACAATGAAGTCTTATGTTAGAGTTTTGAGTAATTTTCGAACAATGCGCATGAAAAATGACGCTTGTTTATGTGACTTTATGTTTCTTTATGCTTTCAATGGTTTTGTAATCAAATCGAGTGGAAATATCACACTGAAATTAATTGCGCTGAAGATTGCTCCAACGAGTCCACAACGCAAAACATAAATACGTTTCTAAAGCTAATTCATGACTTTTAAGTTGTATGCCGTTGTATTACGGCGTTAAAATCTTATTCGATGATCATCTGTTTCTCTATTTGTCATCCACTTAGAAAAAATGTGCCACCTCCTACTCGTCTCTTTACAGTGTGCTCTTTGAGAGGTTATTCATGGTGTGGCTCATTGAAAATTAGCCGTCTATTGTTGGCGAAAAGGCGGTATGGTATATAAAACTAACCGCGTCGAGTTTGCATTAACACATAAAACGCTCAACGGGATTCTATTCCACCCGGAACGTTGTTAAACTACAATTATTATGTCGTTTTATATGATGAATGTCAAGTGACAGATGTGAACACTTCTTCACGTAATCATTGTGGCGGTAGCTACAAGAATGAAATAATTAAATCTAAATTTAAAATTAATTTTAATATTCAGTCCGGAGACATACTCAAGCAAACAAAAAACGCATTCAGAGTTTTATCTGAAGACAGTTGAAATCATTTGAAGACGTTTTCAACGACGGTAATAATCGTAGATGAACGATAACCAACTAAAAAGTGGTTACGTTGCGTGATAGAACGATACCATCTTAGCCCATCTTAAATTAACGAAATAAATATTTTGGTAACGAGGTATGACCAAAAAAATTTAACAAGATGGGTTAGAAAAAGTTAAAACAATAATTTGAATAATATGCAACTCATTAGACACTGTATTTGCCTTTTGGTTTGTCTATAATACTTTTTTGAGTTTTTTTTTGTTGATTTCATCTTAAATGTTTTTAGTTTTTATGATGTTTTGATTGCGTGTGGTTTATCTACGACGTTTAAATTGCATCGTCAATAATTCACGTGTGGGTACTCCTCCTAGCTTGAGAATATGTACCTCCAGCTTCCTCAGATCGTTTATTCATTCAATCATTTTAATTGTTTTCGGCTAGCTCACGCAAGTTGATATTCCATTTTTGATCGGCGTTGCGTGTTGCCGCACATTTGATTATCCTTCATCCCGAGGCTTTAAAACTCACATCAAGTAATATCACAAACTATTTCAAGCTAATTCAAGGTATATTTGATATGTTTAGCTGTAATTTCATCATAATTATAGATATGGTCTTATAATTTATATGATATTGTATTGATGGTTGCATATCATAAATTATTTTTCTGAACTTATTTCGTCTTTATTCTGTGATTATAGGTTATAAATATGGAGTCGTGAAATATTTCCCTTGGAATGTGTTTATGTGTTTAGTTTATCAGCCAGATGTGCATAATTTCGAGTGTTAAGTGCATTTCGGCGATCAGAATGCATGCATCTGCATTTACGCATTGGCGATGATGGCGTTCGGGGCGTTCATCACGTAAATAAACATTAGCGCCGGCGTTGTTAACACATAGTCACTCCGTCGACACTCCCACTGAGTGCTCTTATTTCAATTAGCGACTTACACCAACACAGGCATGCCAATCGTCAACAATGTGTATGCCACAAGAAAAAACAACTACTATATGAACTTAGTAAAACATAACCACAAATGTAAACTTCTTGTTCGTGTTTTACGCGACTGTATATCAATAAATTTGTTTCAATTTACAAATTTGAAATTCTTTGCGTTATGATAAACAAACCGACATCGACGCCATCAAAATTCCAGCGCAGACAAATAGTCATGCAGATTTATACACCACTTCGCACATCGGCGCTCATCGTACGATAATAAGCGTCGCTCGCATGCGAAATATTCGGCCGCTATAATCGTAAAACACAACGCGTCAACAGATGATGATGGCCGCCGCATTGCACAACAGTGTAAATCTGTAAATTGTAAAACATCCGCAAGCGCGCGCGCGCACGCTATGTGTGTATATAATTAAATTTTATGCAACGCGCGAAATAATGACGGATCAATTTTGTTATTCGCTGCCATTCGTGTGTTTGTTTGAATAATACGACAGTCGACGTCATTTGGTAAATCGCCATCCGCGTAAACAACCAATGAAGTTGTTTCAACAAATAGTTCTTCATCGTAAAAATATGCAACCCAATACACAACAACTATACAAACTCTATTGCCTTCAATAGCGTTAATTAGGTACATGTTTAATTTAAGAACTAAAATCGTAAAAAGTTGTTAGTTATTTATAGATTTTTTGTGTCTTGTATTTGATTTAATTTCAAGGATTTAACTGTATTTACGCAACGTGTAATCAGCGGATTGAAATCGCATGCAGGCCGGCCGTCATTGATAATTAGCTTAAATTGACGTCGAGCAAAAAAGCATTACCGTGGCCGGCGTTTTAAATGTAATGTAATGTGGAATAAAAATTAGCCAGAATTTAGCGTTTTACAGGCTATATTTACCGGCACGCAGGCGCAATTACAGCGCAAGCGGATAATATTCTCATAAAACAGAATGTTGCACGTTAATAAAAATAGTCAGCCTCAGCGAGCACCTGATTTGGACTTGAAACAGCTTCGAAATATTTAATTTCGACAATTTTATGCAATTATCCTCTCAATTCATCATCTCTTCAAGACCGTATATTATTTGTTATATAATTGAAATTTACTTAAAGTTTTTATGTTGTTGTTTGATACGAAAAATTCCTCTCTTGTCTTTGACAATGATAGAGATTTATAAAGCGTTGCGTGCGCGATGTGTCGTCGCCGCATCATCATCGCGCGGATAAATTTAGCAGGATTATTATAGAAAGCGTTTTCCACTTAACGTTAAGTGCACCAATTTCCCTTCATAAACAAGGGGTTCGACTCAGAGCGGCGCGCGCTCGCACCCACTTAATGCCGGGCGCGATAACTGTAACGAGCCGCGAGAGTTTCGCGAAAATTGTCGAGAAAGCACATAAAATCGCATCGTAAAATCACAAAACATACAGGATATCATGCAGCAATAAAAATGATTGTACATGAGTAAGGTTATGGTTAAAAACATTAAAAATACTGCAGTTTGTAAAAATTCCACTAGATGGCGATAGAAGTTCCGAAACTAAACGCTCAAAAATGTAAAATATGTGAAATTTCCTCCGTCGAGATTACCCAGCAATTAAAAACTGGTAGTAATAGCCGGGAATTGAAGAAGACGGACAACTTAAACATCGTCGGCTGGAGAAACAAGATTTAAAAGTCGAGCGAGGCGCGATGCTA